GGAGTTAAGTTTTAAAATGCACTGCAGTGATCCACTGCTATCACTTGTAAGCAGCCAAAGATGGCTCACTTGCATTATATGGAAAGTTTCTCTTCTCTTTTAGTAAAAGAGCAAAACCAAGGAAAACCTTGTGCGTCCCTTTATCTTTATTCCCCCTCCAGCCTCAGTGTAGTGACTTCATCTCTTAAACGTACCGATATTTACCGTAGGGCCTGGTATTCGGTGTATCTTGGATTTGCTCTTGAAACCAATGTGTATTCCATGGTCGGGTGGAGTGTTGTACAAATGTAAATTAGGTCACGTCGTTTGACAGTGCCGTTCAGGTCTCCTGTAGCCTTGCTGACTTTCTGTCTACTTGTTCTGTCCATTATAAGAGCATTGAGATTCCCAGCTCTCACTGTGGGTTTGTCTGTCTCTCCTTCTGGTTTTCGTTTCATGTATTTTTGAAGCTCTGTTATGAGGCACGTGTATATTTAGGAGTAATATATTCTCTTGATTAGTTGACCCACTTCTCATTCATTAATCTCTGGTAAAACTCCTGTTCTGAAGACATCTTTGTCTGAGTTAAGTGACTTACGTTTAATGTGAGTGTCAGTATAACTGAGTTTAAATCCACTGTTCTGCTATGTGCTTTCTATTTTTCCCATCTCTTTTTTGTCCCTTAATTTCCTTCCCCTTGCCTGGTTTCTTTGGATTATGTATCTTTTATAATCCATTTTATTTTCATTCTTTCTTTTCCTTTTTTTGGTTACACTGCACAGCTTATGGATCTCAGCTCCCCAGCCAGGGAGAGAACCAGGGCCATGGCAGTGAAAGCCTGGAATCCTAAGCACTAGGCCACCAGGGAGATCCCTATTTTCTTTTTTAGTGGCTGCTTTGGGGTTAATTAGATGCATCTTTAACTAATCACATAACACTTGAGTACTTTGCATATTTATTAGTCAGCGTTCAAACAGAGAAACAAAACCACTGGGAGTGATACATAGCAAGGGGTTTATTGTAGAAATTTGATCTTATGCAATGATAGGGAGCTGGCTAAACAGTTTCTAAAAGGCTGGTTTCTTTGTGTCTGGTGCTGGTGTATAACTGGCTGTGAAGGGAAAGAAATTGGGAGCGGGAGACGGACTTGAAGTGGGGGAAGGGAAGGGGGAGCAGGAACGAAGCAGCACCCACACGTCCTCTCTCACTGTTTCCAAGAGGCCATCTTCCACGATGTGTATGACCTAGAGGAGAAACTGGGGTTTCTCATCTTGAGGCTGCAGCGCACCTGGGCCAGGGGTGGGAGAAACTGCAGGATGACCCAGCAGGAGCTGGAGGGGCTGTGGGCTCAGCTGCCGTCTCGTGATGACAAGGTGACCCAGCAGTTCAGTTACAGTGTGTGCGATCTGCGCCTGGTGTCTCTGCACCAATGTTTAGAGTGACAAAAAAAAAAGCGAGTGGTTACCGCTTCGCTTCACTGTACCTGCCAGATGTTGTCTAAAATGTCTCTAGTGACCCATGCTGACTTGGAACTACAGGGAAAGAAACTCTGGGAATACAGTTCCAGCTTAGCTGAGTTGACACAATGCAAATCCACTAAAGCAGGGAAAGTAAGAAGTTGTCTTTAACAGTACATTTCCACTCCGGTTCTGTCCCTTGGGTGCTACTGTTGCCATACATTTCACTTTTATGTATTGCAAACCCCACTGTACACTGTTATTATTTTGTCTACCTTTCAAAGAAGTCAGCAGATGAGAAGTCACATGTGGATCATCTCTCTGGTCCTTACCCCTTAGTCTAGTTCAGATCTCCATCCAGAATAACTGCCTGCCACTCAAAGGGCTTCCTTTACTATTTCTTGTCGGGCAGGTCTGCTGGTGACACATTCTCTCCGCTTTTGTTTTTCTTTTGTGAAGAAGTTATTTCCCTTTCATTGTTTATGGGTATTGTTGCGGGCCATAAAATTTTAGGTTGACAGGTTTTTTTCTTTTTCTTTCAGTGCTTTGGAGAGTTTCCATTGTCTCCTGCTTACACAGTTTCTGATGAGAATTCTTTAAATTCTCATCATTGCTTCTCTGTATGTGACCTGTCCTTTTTTCTTTGTTTACTTTTGAAATTGTCTTGTTATCACTTGTTTTCAGCAATTTGACTATGATGTATCTTGGTGTGGGGTTTTTATGTTAATCCTGACTGGAGTTTGTTGACATTCTTGAATCTCTGGGTTTATAATTTTTCTCAAATTTATAAAATTTCCAGCCATCATTCCTTCAAATGTATTCTTTCTGTCTGTTTTTTTCTCTCTTTCTCTGTCTTTCTCTCTCCTCTCCTTTCCTTCTTGGACTTCAATTACACTTATGTTAAATCATTTGATGTCAGATCACAGATCACTAAGCTCTGTTAATTTTTTTCCCATCTATTTTTCTCCCTGGTCTTCAGTTTAGGTAGATTATATTGCTGTATTGAACATTTGGGTTAATTATCTTTTCTTCTGCAATGGTGATCTCATTTGATAAAATTCTCATTTTACATAGCTTATTTTTCATTTTAGAAGTTCTACTTGATTCTTTTTTGTATCTTCCATCCCTCTACTTGTTATAATTATATTTTTCTTTAAATATTTGTAATTATAATAACTCTTTAACATCTTTGTATCTAGTTCCATCATCTCCATCATTTCTGTGCCCATTTTTATTGATTGATTTTTCTTCTATCTATGGGTCACAGTTTCCTGCTTTGGGGCATATCCAGGAGTTTCTGACTGGATGCTGGACATTATGGCTGTTACATAGCTGAGTGTCTCAATTTTGTTGTCTTCTTTTAAATAATGTTGGGCTTTGTCGTAACTTGCAGCTAGGTTACTTGCGCACTATCTTTATCCCTTTGAAGCCTGTTTTCAAACTTTGCTATGGCTGGTCTGGACTAGCCTTCCCTCCAGGGATGGCTTAGCCCATGGCTAACACGTGACTTCTGCAAAGTTTCCACTGAATGGTTGAAGTTTTTACTGAGTTTTCACCACTCTGGCTGGTTGCAACTCAAATGTTTTCTGACCTCTGTGAGCTCTGGGAATTGTTCCACTTGCGAATTCCAGTTTGTCTTTGCTCTGTCTTAGAGAATCTTACTCCAGTACTCAACAACAACTCTAGAAGGTCCCATGCAGATTTCGGGAGCTCATCTTTTGCACAGCTTCCTCCTTTCTGGGGCTTTGCCATACAACTTCTAGCTGTGTCCCTGGACACCAACCCCCAAACGCTCAGTTCAGCAAGATTAGCATGTTCTTCCTGGGATCCCTCTCCTTGGACCATGCATGGTCTGGAGTACGACTCCAGGCAGAAAACCAGGAGAGTCAGCTGTCTCCCCCCACCCCCATTAGAGTTATCTCTCTGATCTCGTGGATCACACTCTGCCACACTTGCTTTCCATTGCTTGAAAGCAATTGTTTCATATATTTTGATCGGTTCTCTAGCCATTTAGGGTGGCAAGGCAAGCATAATATTTGTTAGTGTATCATAGTCAGATGCAGAAGTCAGGAACTGACATAAGGAAAAGCTCTCTAAAAGGCCCCTGTTAGATGTTACCCCTCTCTCATAAAGCCTTCCTAGGTTTCTGCCTCTTCTGTGTTTATTGTTTTCACATTCTGCCTTGACTTGTAATCAAAAATACATGTGACTGTCTCAGTGGACTATGAGGGCCGCAAAGGTGGGCACAGGGTCTTTATTATCTTAGCAACTTCTCTGAGCCTAGCATGTGATGGGGAAGTGAGACAGGATTACCTTGTGTGGCTTGACAATGAGCTGAGGTGACTCTGATGAGGCAATGGGCACCCCAGTCTGAAAACCTAGGAGGACCGGCTCTCTCCCCTGCGTGATCACCACTAGGCATCCTCCCAGGTAAAATCATGAGGGTGCACAATTCTCCCTTATTAGGCAGGGGACTGAGAGATTGGGTAAGAGAGTCCAAGCCTGCCCAGGCTTGCCAAACACATCATCCTGACCTTGGAGCTCACAAAGCCTCAGATCTTGACACGACAGAAGGGCTTGACCGTCGGCGCCCTGACAGCGGCGGGCGATCCCCCAGAATGAGGCCAGACCAATTCCCAGGGAGGCAAGTCCAGGCCGAGTGTCCAGGAGCTCAGGCTGCGGCCGCGCCTGCCCACCTTCCCTGGGCAAGGAGCCGGGACGGGAAGCAGCACGGTCTGGGTCCTAGACTGTGACTGTGATCAGTGAACTCAGTTTCCCCATCTGCAGAATGAAGCCTCAGAGCGCACGGCCTTTTCCTGCCCTGAAGAGTGGATGCTGGGTCTTCCCTGGTGCCTCAGTGGTGGAGTCCGCCGGACAATGCAGGAGACACGGGTTCGATTCTTGGGCTGAGAAGATCTCATCAGCCATGGATCAACTTAGCCCATGTACCACGATTACTGAGCCTGCGCTCAAGAACGCAGGGGCCACAACTACCGAGCCCGCCTCCCACAGCTGCTGCGGCCCTAGTGCCCAGAGTGCGTGCTCCTCGGTGAGAGAGGTCCCAGCAACCAGGAAGCCCTGCACTGCGGCTAGAGAGGAGCCCTCTCCCCCAACCCCACTGCCTGCCACAGCTAGACAAAAAGCCCATGCAACCATGAAGACCCAGCACAGCCCTCAGTAAATAAATTTTAAAAAATTGTTTTCTTTTTTAAAGAACTGAGTTCTGGCAACTGATGGGTTGAGGTCCTGGAAGTCTCTGGTTCCCCAAGGTGGTGATTCTGGGCTTCCAATAATCGATGACTCTGGGACATTCGCTTTTGGTGGTTCTGTGATCAGAACAACTTGTAGCTCTAGAATAATCTGTGATGCTCCAGCCCTACCCTTCCATGGTGTCGATTTTATGACTCTCTGTTTTGTGGCTCTGTGACCCTGGGGCCTCCCCGGCATGGACCTTCATCAGCAGACGCGGCCCTGGTGCGCCAGGACCCAGCTTTCTGTCTGCTTGAGAACTGGAACCTGCTCCTCACTCATTGTTCCCAGAGTCACTAACTAACTCCTAGTGATTCACTCACAGGAGCTAGGGAGAAACAGAGGTGCAGGGAACGCCGCCCGGCTGCCCTGGGACCGAAAGGGCTGATTGTCTGCCTGCCTGAGAGGGGCCTTGTGTTTGGCTCTCTGGTGAGGGCCTGGCAGGGCCGGGCAGGGCACCCCCGCACCGTGCCCAGACCAGAGAGAGGTCTGCCCTCCCAGCCCATCACCTGGCACCGGCGTCCCCGCTGCTGCGCCTGTGTCCCAGCAGAAGGGGTGAGCAGGAGGGCAGGCGGGGGTCCACTGCTGGATCCTGGGGGCACCTGAGCCTGGGCTTGAGTCTGTCTGGCCGTCCCTTGGCGGGGCCCCTGGGTCTCTGCCTGATTTCCCGTCTGAGCCCGTCTGGGGCTGCCGTGCAGCTCTCAGAAGTCCTCCGGCCTGGTTATCTGGCCGAGACCTCTGAGCACACCTGGTGGAATGTCTGTTTCCATTTCGCGTCCCTCTAAATGAGGGTCCACATGCTGCTCCCTGACCATCGACCTGTGGATGGGGGACACACCCTCGATAACCCTTCATCTCATCCTTGACCCGTGGCCGCTCTAAGGTCAGGTCCTGGCCCACGGGCACAGGCTGCAGAAGGGCTGAGGGGTCTGACGTGACCCCCGCGCTGCTCCTTGTTCCCGGGTGAGGCCTCACGTGCCGTCTCTGGGCTTCGAGCGAGCTCCTTAACCTGTAAAACGGGAGTGTGGTGCCGCCCTCATGGTGGCTGTGGAGAGAAAGCCATGGGCATGCGCGGGCCAAGTGCTCTGGGGACCAAGTCCTGGTTACTGTTGTGCTTCCCTGGAGCCTTAGCTGGTAAAGAATCCACCCTCAAATGCAGGAGACCCGGGTTCGATCCCTGGCTCGGGAAGATCCCCTGGAGGAGGGCATGGCTACTCACTCCAGTGTTCTTGCCTGGAGAATCCCAGGGACGGGGGAGCCTTGGCGGGCTGCCATCCACGGGGTCGCAAAGAGTCAGACACGACTGAGCGACTAAGCGCATTGCTTGCAGACAGCAGGGTTAGTTCTCCAGCCTCTGGGGAGAGCGTCCTGCGGGCCTGCCGCTCACGGAGGGAGCACAGACGCACACACACACGTGGATGAGGCAGGACAGACCGAGACCCGGGAGGTGACTGCCGCTGCGGGATTTACTTACAAAGGTGCTCTTAAATTTTCTGGCTAGAAAGCTCGCATGTTTCCCTTTCCTGAGAGGCCAGTCGGAGGCAAATACAGCGGGGATGAGCCTGAGAGCATGTCCTCCGTTCCACCGATGACCTGGGGCCTGCTCACTCCCTGGCTTGCTGGCCCGCAGGGTCCGGCAGGAAAGGGTGGGCTTCTGCGCAGCTGCCATTCTGGCTTGAGTCCTTGTTTGACCTCTAGGGTCAAATACTCACTGTTAGTTGCCAAAAATGGTTCTCTTTTTACATGTTATTATGTGGGGTTACACACACACACACACACACACACACACCCTGTCTCCCTCTCCCCGAACCTGATGAGCACGGTGAAGGCCAGCTCTGCAGGGGCCTCCCAGAACCCCCTGTTTCTCTGATACTCCTGGCGGTCTTGCTGGTTCCCTTGACAACATGTACATTGCTTTTTTGACTTTTATCATACAGTCAGGACTACAAATTTTCTGTTTTAGAGTTTTGTAACTTTGTGGCATTTTAGATAATGTGTTTGTACTCTGTTATGGAGAGTGAAAGGACTGTGTTGAATAAACCTAGGATTAGAGTGCAAAAATGAAATAATAATGCCATTTGGAGCAACATGAATGGACCTAGAGATTATCGTATTAAGTGAAGCCAGACAAAGACAAATATCATACATATGATGTCACTTATATATGTGGAATCTAAAGAAAATGACAGGAATGAACTTATTTACAAAACAGAAACCGACTCACAGAGTTTGAAGCCAGACATACGGTTACCAAAAGGGAAATGTTGGGGGAAGGGATAAGTTAGGAGTTTGGCATTAACAGATACACTTCTGTATATAAAATCCGCCATCAACACAGACTTACTGTACTCAGCCCTCTATAACCACCCACATGGGCAGAATCTGAAAAGAACGGATGTGTGTATATGTAAGACTGAATCACAGCCATACTCCTGAAACCAACACGTTATAAACCGGCCATTGCTGTTGTTTGATCGTTCAGTCATGTCCAGCTCTTCTGAGACCCCATGCACACAGGCTCCTCTGTCCATAGGATTTCCCAGGCAAGGATACTGGAGGGGGTTGCCATTTCCTCCTCCAGAGGATCTTTCTGACCCAGGGGTTGAACCTATGTCTCCTACATTGCAGGCAGATTCTCTACCACTGAGCCACCAGGGAAGCCAAAATCAATAATACTCCAAAACAAAATAAAAATTAATGTTTAAAAATAGAATAAAATAAGGGAAGTGATGGTGATTCCCCTGGCCAGGGTTGCTGGGAGGCCTGAGTGTAATCAGGTGTAGCCCCAAGTGACCAGCTTTATAGACGGCAGCTCTAGGGTTCAGCTGAAGGTCACGGGCTTCACATGACCTGTTTGAATCTCGCCGTAGCCACTCGTTGGCCAAGAGGCCTTGGGCCAACCACTTGGCCTTTTCTGCCTCAGTTTCCTCTTCTGTCAAATGGGGCTGAAACGGACACAGTGAGGATTAAATTTTTCAAAACATAGGTCACGTCGCACAAGGCCTGGCACACGGTTGGCCTCAGTCAATGGAGCCAGCAGCATTATTAAATATTGCTCCTAATAACCTGAGGACCCAGCCTGCCTGGACTTCATTCATGAACGTCTCAGGGAAACACATGTACCTGGGGAGCGTGCAACATGGCCTTGGGGAAAGACCCTGGCCCCGGAGCAGACTGCACGCACGGCGGAGCTTGGGATTTCTTTTAAGGATGGAGCGAGCCTCCCGCACCCCTTGCCCAGTTGGCCCCACCGGAATGTCTGGATTCCTAAGTCATTGGTGGAGAGGCACCCCTCCTCGCCCCTGGAGTCTTCTGGGACGGGTTTGGTCTCTGTTTTGGTGCCTTGTTGTGGGGTTTCCATGGGGCTGTCTGAGCTTGGCGATCGCCTTGGTCTTGGCTGCAACACCCCTGGTACCAAAGCTGGTTCATCTTGCGGGGTGAGGAGGAGAGAGAAGGAGGGTGCAGCCAGCTCTGGGTCAAGGATGGAAAAACCTGTAACGGATCAGCGTGGCTGGGCCCAGGTGAGCAAGAGGAGAGGCCAGGCCAGGACACTGTCCTGAGAGCCTCACCTGCCTGGCTCTGAGGCCAGCTTTCTGCTTCTGCTCTGTCCTAGAACCAAGGTCCAGCTTCCCAAAGGGACTGGGAGGGAATACGGACCCGGTACCAATCAACAACCTCAGATTTGCAGATGATACCGCTGTAATGGCAGGACTAAAGAGCCTCTTGATGAGGGTGAAAGAGAAGAGTGAAAAAGTTGGGTTAAAACTCAATGTTAAAAAAACCAAGATCCTGGCACCCAGTCCCATCACTTCATGGCAAATAGAAGCAGAAAATGTGGAAGCAGTGAGAGATTTTCTTTTCTTGGACTCCAAAATCACTGTGGATTGTAACTACAGTCATAAAATTAAAAGAGACTTGCTCCTTGGAAGGAAAGCTCTGACAAACCTAGACAGCATATTAAAAAGCAGAGATATCATTTTGAAGACAGAGATCCATATAGTCAAAGCTAACGTTTTTCCGGTAGTCATGTATAAATATGAGAGTTGGACTGTAAAGAAGGCTGAGCACTGAAGAACTGATGCTTTTGAATTGTGATGCTGGAGAAAGCTCTTGAGAGTCCCTTGGACTGCAAGGAGCTCTAACCAGTCCATCCTAAAGGAGATCAACCCTGAATACTCATTGGAAGGACTGACGCTGAAGCTGAAACTCCAATACTTTGGCCACCTGATGCAAAGGACTGACTCATTGGAGAAGACCCTGATGCTGGGGAAGATTGAAGGCGGGAGGAGAAGGGAGTGCAAGAGGATGAGGTGGTTGGACGGCATCACCGACTCAGTGGGCATGAGCTCGAGCAGGCTCCGGGAGATAGCGAAAGACAGGGAGGCCTGGCGTGCTGCAGTTCGCGGGGCTGCAAAGGGTAGGACACGACTTAGCACCTGAACAACCACCACCTAGACTCCAAAAACATGCACTTATTCCTTTATTCATTCACTCAAGGTTTCATTGAAATTCATCTATCACACATCAGGCCCTTCTCTGGCATTTGGGAAAACAGTGGTTGACGTGCCCTCAAGCAGCCAACAATCTGGAGGACCTGGTCAAATGACAATACAAGTGAAACACCAGTGTTGTGAAAACTTTTCTGTGTGTTTGTGGCATAGACCCTTTAAAGAATCTGATGCAAAGAACCTTCTCCCAGAAGATGTAATAAGCACACGCATATGAAATTTGATCTAGAGTTTAGGATGTTCACAGGTTCCCCTGACACCCAATCTAGAACCTAAACCAAGAGATGCTGAGTCATAATGGGAAAGAGCTGAGCGGACCAAGAAGGAAGCTGTTGAAGGGCAAAGCGAAGGAATGTTTCTTGGTCTAGGGATGCAGGAAAGACTTCCTGAAGGAATTCACAATGACTGACTCAACAAGCATTTATTGAACACCTACAAAATGCCATCCATTCATGATATAACAATGAACAACAGAAGCAAGATTCTTACTCTTTTGGAGATCCCGGTCTAGTGGGGACAGACAAAGATATAAACAAATAGGTAAACACAATGTCTGGAGGTGATGGGGAGCCTGCTTTAGGGCAAGTGCCAGTGAGAAGGAACAGTTTATGGAAGGGCTCTAAGGTGGGCATGAAAATGCAGTGCTTGAAGAATGCTTGAAAAAAGCATTCTTTTTGGACATATCCCTTGTCCATTCTGAAGCTAAGCAAGTGGGATGAGATAGAATTAGAGAGACAGGCAAGAGACAGATGACACAGGCCTTGTGGTCCTGGGTAGGAATTAGAATTTTACCATGAGGGGAACGGGAAACCATTTTTATCTTGAAGTTTAAAATTTTAAATCTTCGTAAATGGAAGCAGGCAGTCTCTTTATGCCTTCCCTGATGGCTCAGTGGTAAAGAATCCACCTGCCAGTGCAGGAGATGTGGGTTCAGTCCCTGGGTTGGGGAAGATCCCCTGGCTGAGGAAATGGCAACCCACTCCAGTATTCTTGCCTGGAGAATCCCAAGGACGGAGGAGTCTGGCGGGTTACAGTCCATGGGGTCACAAAGAGTTGGATACAATTGAGCGACTGAGCAAATGGAAACACACAAAGTCGTTTTATGGCTGGCTTTTTTCATCCAACAATGCTTGAGAGATGTTGAATGAATTTAGCTAATTTGTTTTCAGTGCTATATAGAATTATTTGGGCACATGAATATCATATTTTATTTATTCATTCTCATATTGATAGACATTTAGGTTTCATCCTGTTTTTTCACTATTTCAATTGATTCTGAAATGTGGGAATTAATGGGTTTGTGCATTTCCAACATTATAAGAAGTTGCCAGATGGCTCTTTAAAGTTGGCATCCTAATTTATATTCCCATAAACAGCATCTGAAAGTTCCCACATCTTTATATCCTTGCCAACTGTTGATATTTTCAGCCTTTTAAAATTTTGACAGTGTTTTGGGTGTAAAATGGTAACTCACTTTAATTTGTGTTTCCAGGATTACTAG